CCATGGAAAGGAGACTAACTCTACAAATGAGTTTCCACAATAACGTTTCATGAATCTTATCTATCCAGTTCCCAGAACAAGAGTGCTATAGTACATTTCCTGAACGCTTGGGGAGGGGGGGCAGCAGAGGGCAAAACATTTGTAAAGGATACAGCATTCCAGTCTATACTACTGTGAAACAAGAAGTAATGAAATGCTACTCTTCATCATTTCAAATACCTGATAAATTTAAACTATGTATGTAAAAAACCTTCCTAGTAGGGCATTCAAGCAGCAATCAGAAGCAAATATTTTAAACTTCACATTTAATAAAATTTAAATGCACATATGCAGACATGCTATCAACAGACCATACATGACCACGTTTATGATACACTTTTTTCAACTTTGTCAATTTAATACAGAGAATATCCGGGTTTATTTTTGAAGTCAAGGGAAAGTGAAAGTTCATGCAATCTTAACAAGAGTATGTTGCACTGCAAACACACATACACGCTTTTTGAGAACCAAACCCATACCTGAAATATCAAAGCTGGATCAATAAATAAAGATGGCTCTTTCTGCAAGTAAGGTAAACAACAAATATTTTCATTTACTTTACAGCTTACCATTTTTAAAGACTTTTTAATTCTTGTTGCTAGACTATATACCAAGATGGTCAATACCCTACACTTAGGATGAGCTTTATGCCATATCTGTAAGCAACTCATTTCTGATTTTCTCTCTCAGGTAATATCACCCGTTTAAGCCAGACCATCTGAACAAGATCACAGAACCACAGGATGGTTTGGATTGTAAGGGACTATAAAGATCCTCTAGTTCCAACCCCCCTGCCATGGCCAGGGACACCTCCCACTAGACTAGGTTGCTCAAAGCCCCATTCAACCTGGCTTTGAACACCTCCAGGGATGGGGCAGCCACACCACCTCTGGGCAACCTGTTCCAGTGCCTCACCACCCTCAGAGAAATAGAGGCACTATTTCTTCCTAATAGCTAATCTAAATCTACCTTCTTTCAGTTTAAAACCATTACCCCTTGTCCTATCACTACAGGTCCTGGTAAGAAGTCTTTCTCCATCTTTCTTAGAAGTTCCCTTTATATACAGAAAGGTCGCAATAATGTCTCCCTGGAGCCTTCCCTTCTCCAGGCTGAACTACCCCAACTCTCTCAGCCTTTCTCCGTAGGAGAGGTGTTCCAGCCCTCTGATGATTTTCATGGCACTCCTCTGGACTTGCTCCAACAGGTTCATGCCTTTCTTGTACTGGGGACCTCAGAATAGAATGCAGCACTCCATGTAGGGCATCACAAGAGTATGCATGGGTACAATGGCAATTAAAGGAAAGGATTTCAGTGTACTAGCTTTAACTTATGCTTAAATAAAGATCAAGGCATGAGAATAAGAATGCTGTTTGATTACGTATATCCATAGTCACAAAGTCAGAATCAACCATTGCAACAAAACTAGAGTGGCTTCCTGTATAACAGGAGTCATAAAATTACATGAATGCTGTTAAATATACACACCATATTTTGGTGTGCATTTGCTACCGCTAGCTTCTATTTTGCAATGTATTTTCATTACTGGAGAGGACTTTTTTTATATAGATATCTCAGGATGTGTCTAACGAGTGTAATCTCTTTGCTCCGTCATTTCCTATTTGTGAAGCTACACAAGATTAAGATCCTAAAGTCATTCATTGTTTGGTAATATTTTTAAACATTCTGGTGGCTCTTCTCTGAACACCATGAACTCCATGATGTAACAGATCTCAGAAAACTATGGTAGGGGCCTGGGAGAACAAAACAAAACAAAACAAAAAATCTCTTGAAAGCAAGGTCTACAGTGCGATTAAGCAAGTTTCAAAAAAACAGGACTTTGAGGAAATAACAGGAGCATGCAGGAAAAGGAAGTATCCTGCCCTAACCTTCTGTCCTGTGACTCTGCTTTCCAGAAGAAAGAAGGGCTTCTGGAGAAGAAGGTCTGTTGCAGCCAAGGGAATAGAGATTAAAGAATGTAAGGGGAAAGAATAAGAAAAAGACATGGGACATCTGGAAGCAAACTAGTCTAAGAAGCAAAACCAGAAAGTTAGGAAAGAAAGGCCTGTACAATGCCTCTGAAAAGACAATAGACATCTGAAACAGCATAAAAAAAAGTAATAGAAACACGAGTCAAGACATAGGATGTGAATTTTCTATCTTTTTTGTTCCGCGCCCCCCCCCCTTTCTTAAGTATACAGAAGATAGAGACTGGTCAAGGAGACAACATGCAATTGTATCCAGAAAATACATTTGCTATAGGAAAAGGCAACTACTTTCAAAGTTTTCAGAGAGAAATTAAGATCATAACAGGACAGGAAAGGTAGAGCAGAAGAAAAGCTGTTTAGGACCAAAAAAAAAATCACATATGAAATTATAGGTTGGAGAAATGGGTATACTTCACTGGCTGAAAGGAGGACTGATTGGGAAAAGGGAGAGAAAGCATTCAGCAGTAGCAAGGGACAAAATAAAACCACAGGAAAGAATAGAGGGATCTACAAAGGAGGGAAAGCTGCCTCCTGGCAGGGCCTGGGGGAGCCAGGGAGGGGACTCAGAGAAAAGCTAACGTGGTGAGAGGGTGGAAGGGGTTAGGTGCTGCTTGGAAAAAGTATACTGCTTGGAGCCTCTGCATGAGGGAGTGTATGGCCTCAGATTGCCATATTAGAGGGTAAACTTCTTCCTTCTTCTGCCCTCAATTTTTATTATTGCTTCAATGCTTGATTATTCAAAACAAATGTTTGACATTTTTTTCAAAACAAATGTTGTCTGGATTAAGACAATTTAAATTTACTTGAAAACATTCCAAAGCTGGAACTTGTAATGAAAACTGCTGTTTAATCAGATGGATTTCAACATCTTACATTTGTCCCTTTTTCTTTCCAATATTAGGCCTATTTTAGACAAGGCAACCCCAAGGGAGCTTGTGTTCATAAGAAAAGAAAGAACTATGTGCCTCGGAGCCACATCAGATTGCTCCAGCAACACAATTACAGCATCACCTGTACCAAATGAAAGCCCTCATTACAAAGATCAGATTTTTAAAAAGTGAAAGATCACACCACTCCCAACTCTCCTGGAAGACAAACAGAAAAGATATTACTGTCTTCAGGGACAGACACTGTCAGAGTAGCTGCAACTACAGTCATCGCATATGTCATTCATGTGTCATGTCCCCCAACACCCCCATTCTTTTCCAAGAGTTTTGGTAGAGGAAGAGGAATTGCAAATTATTTTGCAATATAAACTTTACATTGTTAATAACCCACATGGAAGACCATAAACTATTCTAACACACTATCTCTGTATCCCAAAACTTTTAAATTTATAATTCTTAATATTAATAGAAAGAAACAAGTTTCTCAGGCAGTATCCTACTTTCCCATATACTACAGGTAACGAGTTACTGCAAAAACACACGGTTTAGGTTCCATAACTAGACTTCTGAACTAGAATAAACAGGGAAGGTTCAAGGCAAATACACATCAGAAGATGGAATACTGAAATCAATGAACTTTCTTTGTTACTCATATAATCCAACTAATTATTACCTATTAAAAGGCAGATACTGTATTTATTAGGTCCTGCTGTTGTTGTAACTATGTCTTTACCGCAATGTTCAGACATGCTGAACTCATTGGCTCATAACAGAAGTCACTGGCAAAATGAGGCCTTTAATTTTGCACTTCCTTTTAAGACTGAAATGAAAGACCATCATTAATGTATTTCAGGCAGCACTGCCAATTCAGAAATTATCTCAAGTCTCATGGTATTTTTCTTAAAGATGTACATTCCAGACTCACAGAATTATGTGAAAATATCAGTTTTCACTTTTTGAATTATCTTTATATTTTGTTATTGTGGGGAAAAAAGCCACAGCACTTTAGTAATATTATATATCCAGAAGAGGAACTTGGAATCAGGACTAAGACAGGAGTTGCATCACATTTTGTCATATCACTCTGCGCTGATGCAATGAATATTTCCCTTAGGTTAGTTGTAAAATGATGGCCAAATAACCACCAACAGAAGTATTGTTTCTAGAGATCAGGAAGGAAAACATTTTACATCAGCCTTGGACAGTTTGTGTTTGCTTCTGTTTGTCAGTTTATTCCATCTACTTTGCCTCACCTGAAACTTTTTTTTGCCCCGGATTCTTTTTAAAAGCCATTTGGTTCTCACTATTCAGCAATGCTGCAATTGATTTTTTTAATCAAGTCTTATTAAGAAAACAGTCTGGGAGAAAGAAATACTAATTATTCCTAGCTTCACAGCAAAATCAGTTGAGAAGTAGAAGGAAGCATTTAATGATTTAACAGTAAAAGTTATAAATCAAGTTGTTGTAGGTTAACCCTGGTAGGCAGCTGTGTCACACAGCTGTTCATTCACTGCCCCTCAGTGGGATGGGGGAGAGAATTGGAAGGGCAGAAGTGAGAAAATTCATGGGTTGAGATACAGCCAATTTAATAGGTAAAGCAAAACCGTGCATGCAAGCAAAGCAAATTATGGAATTCATTCACTGCTTCCCATCAGCAGGCAGATGCTTAGCTATTTCCAGGAAAGCAGGGCTTCATTATGCATAACAGTTACTTGGGAAGACAAACGCCATAATTCTGAATGTCCTCCCCTCGTTCTACTGCTGAGCATGACATTCTATAGCACAGAATATCCCTTTGGTTAATTCAGGTCCGCTGTCTTGGCTGCATTCCCTCCCAGCCTCTTGTCCACCCCCAACCTACTTGCTGGGGTGGCGCAGAGCGGAGTGAAAAACTGAGAAAGATTTGACTCTGTGTAAGCACTGTTCAGCAACAGTTAAAAATATCACTGTGTTATCAACACTGTTTTGGTCCCAAATTCAAAACATAGCACCATAGAGGCTGCTATGAGGAAAATTAACTCCATCCCAGCCAGTGTACGTGAGTTCACACTACAAAAATAATATATGGGAAAACATGCAGAGACCGTACCTTCATTTCAATAACTGTTTGAAGAGCCTTCGTCTTTGCTGGCTCGGGTTGAAGTTGTGTTCTTCTATGTAACTCCTGTGGAGGGACACGATAGAAATAAGCCTGACGACTCATCTTTCCATTATTTTAATCACTCATATGAATTTGTTACAACAAAATAAAAGTCTGATTATTAGAAGCATGTAACTCCAAATGCTACAGGTGCTTCCCTCTCTATAATCCCTCTAGCATAACTGCAGTCCCTATCTTATATTACAGTCAACTCTGACAGCACATGCGCTATTTCTCAAACCCCTATCAATAATTAATGTCAACAGTGACAAAGCCAGCAAGTAATTTCTTAGTCCAAATACAATGCTCCTGCTTCTGCCTAAACATCAAAACTGAATTAATTCAGTTGTGTTACTAATTCAAACACTGTTAAGTCATTTAAAATCTTTTACTGTAGCTTCTTAGTTTTTCCTCTAATATCTGAAATAAGCCATTTAAAGACATTATATTTAAATTTGACATTTTAAGGATAATAATTATATAGTGGGTTGACGCAGCACCCTCTACAGTAGCAATTACATTTCAGTTTTCACATTTTCATACTATTTTTAATGCATCTTAATCCACAGGTGAAAGAAAAATAGATTGCGTTAGTTAAGATATACAGTTAGAATAATGTCTATTGGTCTTTATAAAAAAAGAGGATAAAGATGGCAGGACTCGGTCTCTTGTAAAACACAAATGTTCTATACTGGTATGAAATATCTCAAAAAAACCTCACATATCTACATAGAACACTGTAAAGCTGTAATGAAACACCATCATTTAAGAATTTGATGATGCTTATACCCCTCCCACAAATCACCTGAGCAGTTTATTCGAAAACAAAACTGAAATAGGACAGATATAGTTCTGTTTCTAGTCCTTTAGAGCCCTTCCCCTCTAAAGAATAGGACCACCATGGAAGATGTCTTTCTCTCCATTTTCTTTCTACCCCAGTGCTCCATATACACACTTGAACTATCTTTATAACCATGAAAAATACATTTATGCCAGGTAGGCTGAGAAGCTAGGTTCATTCGCCACCAAGGCAGTAGCTGACTCCAGAACCCAAGCTATTGTATCTTCCAAATTATGCCTCTCGCAGCTCATCCTCATAAATTTGGGTGCAGAGGGGAACATCATCAAAAAACCAAAGATAGTTAGGACCCACAGTGTTATTTCCATCTCTTAAAACCTCTTTTCTTGAGTGAAGCAAACAATGTACAACGTGACAATCAACTACACTAACAATCAAAAGTACAACCAGCTATACGGATTATGCACATTTATCATCCTGCCCCCCTCAGCCTATCCGAGCACATTTCTGGGTTTCACCTACCTAATAATCCACAAGCTTAAAAGTAATAATTTTTTGTATCACGAACTATCGATCAGTTTCTTGTTCTGTTTAACAACGAGGATATTGATTATCAATGACTTTGAGAAACAACCACTCTTTAAAGACTATAGTAGGAGTGATTTGGGCTATGTTGTTAAATTAAAATCTACTGATAATAAACATCTTTATAAAATATGTTCCAAAAATTGTGTGGCTTAATATATTAATTTAACTGAAAGAGACAAGTTAGCCATATACGCTCCATTCAACCGAACATAGATTACTTAACTTGAAGTGTAGCATGTGACAGTACATAATATCAAGATATCCATCTCGAAGTTGTCAGGTTTGGCATACATTTTTGGTTAAAAGAAAAGAAGCTGTGCATAGGCAACAGAAAATTTTATGTATACAGAAACAGATCAATACTTACAATCTATTTAATTACAGTTAAGCAGCCAAGTTACAGTTAAATGGGTGGTAAATTAAGACCGTTTAGATCACACCTGGTTTATCTCATTTTTCAGACTCCTCTGTTTGTTCATGATCTTAGCCTGCAAACCTCCGGGGGTGCAGGCAGTTTTTCATTGCCTATTTGTACCATAGCTAACAGTGATACCTTAGTCAATGGCAATATAAAGAAGAAAGAGTTGGATATGCTCTGTCTTGCCTATTTTATTTTGCCCACTCTGCTGTTTCCATAGAAGGGATACACTAAAACGTAATGGTTAGATAAACTGTTAAATTAGATTCTGACCTTAAATAGCCCATGATATCTTGATAAACCACGGCAATGCCTGCAAGAGCCAGATTAGGTACACGTATTTGAATGCATACCTAAAACTAAGTAGGTCTGCATGCTTTTTTTATTACATTAAATACATTGCAGATATATGCAGTTATATTTAAACCTCTAACCTGTGACAACAGTGAATTTCTAGTTTTGCACTGGGCATTTATGAAAAAGTATATCTGAATGATACTTTTTCCTTTTTCTTTTTATATACAACTAATTCTCCACATTATAAAATAAAGAAATCTTTGCAAATCACCTATACGGGAAATCTCTCAATCACCACCAGCTGTTGGTCCCGGATTAAACAAGTACCTTCACTACACAACTTTTTAAAAAATAAGAGTATGTCATAGATTTGTCATATATTTCTCCTACAAAAGTCATGGAAAAATAGTTGGCCAGTCATACCACTATCTGATCAGCAAAAATTACAGCTAATTCTAAGACCAGACTTTGCTCCCCAAGGCCACATAAACTGAGTTGGAGTATAAACAGGATTCCACGCATTACCCAGGGAGACAAACCAGAGTTTCCACCCCCTTAGCCAAAGATGAATAGACTGCCAAAGATGAGTATTCCTAGATGTCTATCATAGTATGAAGCCTTGCCTCATAATACTTTTCCTGTTTGCTTTATGAATCAATCCGATGCTGGCTGACTTAAAAGCTTTTCTTCTCTATCCCTGATGGTAAAATGAAGCAGACTTGAGGATTCTGGAGAAGATCGGAATATGACTCCCACTTTATTATTTTGTGTGGGTTTTCTTCCAATCAGATTCAAATGTTTGGAGACTCCCACAAGGCTCAGTTCTTGAATTTATGTTGTTCCGTGTATGCATTTTTTCTTTTGGGGTACCTGATTTGGGGACATACTTTTGGGGTACTGATTCAAGAATACTACCGTTTTATGTGCATGATACCTTAATACTGATTGCTTTTCTATCTGAGGTCATCTGGAGGGTTTCTAATTTGCCTGACAGCTAACCAAGATATATTCTGAATATTTTATGAAATCCTTGTAGACTAAAGAAACCAATTTTTTAACCATTACATCATTTTTGGAACGATGCTGCTTTGTCTTTTTAATTTCTTTTAATAAAAAGCCCAGGGAGCCTAATAAAAAACTTAAAAAAAAAAAACCCAAACACCAAAAAAACACAACCCCAAAAAACCTCGAAATTAACATCAGGCATAGTTTCTTTTAATCTGAACTGCGTTGAATGGAACTCTTGATACTTGTATCATGATAAAGTACTTGATCACGATCATCTCTGCAATGATCAAGGTCTATGCTCATAATCCCTCAGAGATGTACTCATTTATGAAATTACATTTTCATTACATCCCCTATATGACATGTGTATCACTGCAATTGGTAGTAGTTCTGAGTAACCACTTTGCACATATGAATTTATAATTCTGCACACACAAATTAATTACAAATCTGCATAACTGGATGCCCACACCTGGGATTTCATGCTGATGCTTAGTTGTCAAGGTGATTAACACACCCACACAAAACTGACAGGTAATCAGATCTTTTTCTTCACATTAGATTTACTCTGATATTCTTTACTTCTAGACCAAAACGAGTCTTAACCAAAGCTGGCCGTTGCTTTCTCCTTCTACACGTTTCTGGGATATTAGATCAGCACCTTGTATTGGCCTCAAAAGTAACTTCAGCACACAATTTTACCACTAATTTAAATATCAAAAAATGCCAAGAGGAGACAGTTTATATCAAATACTTCCTAAAAGAGTGGTGGAAGATGAGTCCTGTTCTTTTGTTCAGAAATTGATAAAAAGATCTTGCAAGACTTTATCATTATTGACCAGTATTCAAAATCCGTACTGTATAGCATAGTCTGAACCTAATACTAATTAAACCCAAACAAAACTCCCTTATAATCCCAGCTTTATTATAAGACACTTCCTCAACTGGCTGCAAGAAAGCCAGGCTGCTGGAAACCGATCCTCCTTTTATTCTGTTTCTGATTTGTTTTATTAAGGTTCCTAAGACATCAGTGACTATGTGTTGTTTTGATTAGATGAGATTGAACTGAAACTCTTAAATAAAAGGCTACACCAATATTGTTAACGCAGTTTAAGGTTTTACTTTCTATTTACACAAAACTGCCTAAAATAGCATGACACAAAGTACTAGAAAGAAAAGGACTTTTTCAAAGAAATGGGCAATTTAGAGATGGTATCATGAAACTGTCAGTGAGTGCCTGCATTTCAACTGGTTAACTTCTACTGATTAAAGAACAGAAGGAAAATAGAATTGTAAACCAGAAGGTTTTAAAAAAATAACACAAAATTCATTCATGATATCTAAGATATAAAGACATAATAGGAACAGAGACACCGGAATCAAATAACCTTGGAAGAAGAAAGAGGTTTTAAAGATGACAGCAACTATACTTCAGACAACGTAAAAACAGGCGTAAGAAACCATTGTGTCTGTAAATCTAGCTTCTTTTATTCCTTGGTAAAATGTACAAATCTGTAAATCACAGCAGGCAATAGTATAGGAGCTGCTAGTTCTCTCCAACACCTCAAATCAGACTGCTTCCATTCTCCTGGAAAAGAAAGCCTTGATACTGCTTCTACACGATCAGCTTGTCTGAACTTAAAAATTTAAATCAGCAGTATATTAATATTTCGATCAATTATTTAAGTAAAAGCACAGTTGCTTACTTATTAAAGTGACTAAACAGTAGTTTCTTCAGCCAAAAATACCATTAGAAAGACCGATCAAATTCTATTTAACCAGAATACTACAAAATTGTAACATATAGGAATTCATTTATTCTTAACGTAAAGGCTTATCTTTTCTTTCCTGTTTTCTAACCCTTTGCATCTACTCCCAGCCAAAATGGTCTCATAGCAATTTAGATGAAAGGAT